AGACGATATCATAAAGCCCTGGGAGTAGCCAGATAGCCTGGAACCTGCCTGGTAAGAACACAGGACTTGAGTAAGACTCGAGGTTCATTTAAACCGAACGCATCACGTTCGTCACACCTCGGACGTCAGCCAGAGAAGATACACATGTGCTGTTGTTGTGACAGTGTCGANCTTGACTCTACTGTGCTGCAGAGAAGCAACTTGACTCAAGCTCTAAGACTTGAAATCGAGTAGACCTAGAGAAGAAGCTTGACCCTACTGTGCTGCAGAGAGGCGACTTGAAATCAAATAGACCTAGAGAAGAAGCTTGACTCTACTGTGCTGCAGAGAAGCAACTTGACTCTAAGACTTGAAATCGAATAGATCTAGAGAAGAAACTTGACTCTACTGTGCTGCAGNTGATGCTAGTAACGGAATCACTTATTCGCCTTTCCAGTCTGACATACCTGTCCTGTAGTGTTGACACACTCTCTGCCAATCTAATGACGATGTCGACAAACATATGCGTATGCGAACCATCGAGGAATAATATTGATTCGAAGTAACCTGGTCGCCATCTTGTCGCACGGAATTGTGGGATCGCGCACCTCTTGTCCTCGAGTCTCTCAACTTATTTATCAAACCCGTACGTTTCCTGTTGGCACTGAACGGTACTGTCAATATTGTCAATTCCTCTCGGAAACGAGCTACCGGATCGTACGGAACAACTGTAGAATTCCTACTTTTAGACCCCATGTCTTCAAACTATTGTCGATAGGCCTAAATATTAACGCTATAAATAGCCTAAGGTGTAGGTTGGCAAGGTCGAATGCACGTACAATGTCAAGTTCACACCGTAATGACGAATCACGGCGAAGTTGTAAGGTGGTATTATTCGTACAACAGTAAACAATCAGTAGGCTGCCTTGCTCCCAGTGTGTACAGTAGCGTAGCCACACCTCAAGTCCAAAAATCACGCAGAAAGTAAACAAACGTTTCTCCTCATACTGATTCACGTTTACAACGTAACAAACTGGCGAAAGTTAAATCATACGGCGATGACTGTCACTGAGTAATCGTGGTGTAGTTTAAGATAAATCCATAGTGTAGTAAACACTTGAAAAGTCGAAGAATACGCGAAAAGCAAACACACCAACACCCGCCGTAAATCAATAATGAGGGGCACTGACAATACCACATACCCTCTAGGGGTTAATGCTGATTGGTTAACACTCCCCTAATTTGCATAAAAACATAAACATGAAAAACCTAGATACAAGAATATTACAACACGTAAACAAGGAAATTAACTTAAGTAAATTCACACATATATATCAAAACGTTCCACTGTAGAAAAAACAACCTATGATATATATAAGCAAGGGAGCAATAAAANTAATGAGGGGCACTGACAATACCACATACCCTCTAGGGGTTAATGCTGATTGGTTAACACTCCCCTAATTTGCATAAAAACATAAACATGAAAAACCTAGATACAAGAATATTACAACACGTAAACAAGGAAATTAACTTAAGTAAATTCACACATATATATCAAAACGTTCCACTGTAGAAAAAACAACCTATGATATATATAAGCAAGAGAGCAATAAAAGTTGTATATAAACTATAATTTAACACACATGTCAAATTATCATGTAGAAATGCTATGATATATGTTTTAGTTGTTAAGCTGTCATTCTCTATATATTGCATTTATTAGAATTCATTCAATTTGTTGTTTGTACACTGACAAATTCCACTCAAGTTTTTCATATACTGTAAAACACAAAATGTTCGTGGGTACATTCCTTCGTGGTTTGAAGCCTTTTATATCGTTTCCTGGCACAGACTTTCGTGGATATCCTATATTAACAAACAGTAGACACGTATATCATTCAAATTTGTTGTATTTATTTTCATGTTTCAATAGCAACCACGAAAACCATGAATGTTTATATACAAAGAACATTTCATGTTATACAGTATACAGTAACCTCCCTTTAATTTGGTTTTGATTATAACTAGCAGGATTGCGTCAGTGTTTTCCATTGACCATGTGCAGTCATGTAGCTCAGACATTTGTTTTGATGCTACTTTCGATTACAGCTTGGCAAGATGGAAGTGGACATTTTTCAAATGCTCGAGCACAATCCTCACAGCAAATGAAATGTCCACATGGTAGGAAAACAACAGCTCTCTCCTTTTTCTCACAATCTCGACACTGCTGTTGTTTCTTCATAGCTGCATTCTCCTCCAGTATCCTCAATTCTACTGAAAATGGAAGGTTACAAATATTTCATTAAATGAACGATTTCCATAACCAAATCTTGGAATGCATCATAAGATAACCCTTTTGAATGAACTGGTGATAGCAGATTTTAGCAGAACGCACAAGGGGAGACTGAAATATAACACAGTCTACACAACGAAAGTAACAAAATTGTAGTTCAAGGTGAATGGAATCATGACAAAATTCCTGTTTCAAAAGTGTGCAGCATGCTTAAATCTTAAATGCCTAAAAGAGAAGAAAACCCTAATAACATGTATGTATACTATAAAACAGTGAACATAATTCATTTTACCCTAATCCCTGTGTCATCCTGTTTGACCATCAAACAAGAGGCCCATAGGGCATGTATCGCTTACCTGGATAAAAAGGTAAGCATGGAACATTATTCTTATTACATAAAACAACTATTTTCAAATGAAATATTGGCTCTGTCTATCAGCAACACCCGTCACTCCATTAGATCCCTTCTTTCTGTCCCCATGAATTGGGGAGGATTTTAAACATCGATCTCAATTTCCCCTATTGGGGCTGCCCCTCTGCCCCCTTTAAAGCGACCCTCTATTTGTACAAAATTGTGACCCCTTTGTCCAAGGGTGCTTTACACAAAATTTGGTTAAAATTCCTCCAAATAAACTGAAGGAAAAGAATTTTAAACCTTTATTACTATGGACCCTTCCCCTTTGCTCCCTGCGGGACCACACTTTCTGTTAAAACAAATTCAGTCCCCCTTGCCAAATGAATTCTCTGGACAAAATATGGTTAAAATAACTTCAATCATACTGAATGAAAAGTATTTCAAAGATTTACCCAGGTTTCCCCTTTTTTTGCCCCACCCCTCTGCCCCCAAGGGGGCCATACCCTCCGTTTATACAAAATTGAGTCTCCTTTACCCAAGGATGCTCTAGACCAAATTTGGTTAAAATCTCTCGTGGTACAAGAGGAAAAGGATTTTAAAAATCTACCCCAAATTCCCCTATTGGGCCCCACCGCTTTGCACCCAGAAGAGCCATACCCTTTGTTTATACATTTATACAAAATTGAGTCTCCTTTACCCAAGGATGCTCGATCTTGACCAAATCTGGTTAAAATCTCTCATGGTACAAGAGGAAAAGGATTTTAAAAATCTACCTCAAATTCCCCTATTGGGCCCCACCGCTTTGCACCCAGAAGAGTCATACCCTTTGTTTATACAAAATTTAGTCCCATTTGCCCATGGATGCTCCAGGAAAAATATGGATGAAATCCATCCAATGGTATAGAAAAAGAAGGATTTTAAAGATTAAATCCTTGATTTCCCCTATTGGGCCCAACCACACTGCACCAAGAAGGGGCTACACCCTTCATTTATACAAACTTATTCCCCTTTGCCCATGGATGCACCAAAACAAATTTGGATTTGGATTCTCCAATGGTACAGAGAAAGAAGGATTTTGAAGACCTAAACCTCAAATTTCCCTATTGGGCCTCACCCCTCTGCACCCAGAAGGGGCCACATCCTCCGTTTATACAAAATTTATTCCCCTTTGCCTATTAGGATGCTCAAGACTAATGCTGGATAAAATCGCTTCTACAATACAGAAGAAGAAGAATTTTGAAGACTTAAACCTCAATTTCCCCTATTTGGCCCTTTCCCTCTGCACTCAGATGGGCGCGGCACACCCTCCATTTGTACAAAATTTAGTCCCAACCAACAAACACTCCAGGACTGACTAAAATGTCAGAGACTGGAGGAGGGCCCACCCTTTCCAGAGATGAACTAACACCAATGGAAGGGGGGGCCAACCTCCCTGGCAACAGGAGAGCCAACACCTGTGCTCTCTAGTCTAGAGCCAGCCAAAGGCTGGATAGTCTTGGCACCTGGCAGGGCCTCTGTCAACGAGGAACCTTCCGAAGGATTCTTCGATGGGGTCGCTGGTACTACCTGAGGAGGACCTATCCTTGTCCTTCCTCCTACCCTGTTTGTTAGACATGGAGGAATCCTTCATGGTTCACAACAACACCATAAACAAATAATTCAGCCTTTATTTGTAAATTAATTAATTTCAATTCACAAAAAACAACATAAACGAAAACGAAAGTGAAAGTAAACACCCACGAAAATCAACAGGGACCAAAACACGTGGCAATGGTACCGACATTTTGTAATGAAAAATTTGGTGAAAAAAGGCAAAAAAGATAGATAAACAACAGCAGGGAAACTGGTATAATAAACGAAGATTGAAAACAAACAATGACACAGGTAACTGACCTTGGAAAACTTGAAACAAATCCAGGGTAATAATAACAGCCATGTGCTTCTTCGAGTTGAAGAAAAGGGGAAGTTGGAGGTGTGCGCGCATCCTACACCTATATGTCCAGTTTGGACACCGGGAAGTTTTTTATTTGCTTGGGGCATTTGAAACTTTTATTTGGGAGTTAAAGAACTGGTAGTTGGAGATCATTTGCATAATAATTGGACCTGGTAAGTTTTGTTTTTGATATAACATTGACCCCTGTGACCTCGAATATGGGTGAAGGTCATTCATTTAAGCAAACTTGGTAGCACATTATACCAGCAAGCTACTGGCTTAATATCATCACCCTAGGCATTTTGGTTATTCAATAGAAGCTGTTAAAAGTTTTAAACATATTTGACCCAAGCAACCTTGAATATGGATGAAGGTCATTCATTTGAATTAAGTTGATAGTGCATGTTTCTGGCCAAATATTATAACCCTGGTCCTTTTGGTTATTCAGACGAAGTAGATTTCCACATTTTTTACCCAAGTGACCGTGAATATGGGAAAAGGTCATTCATTTGAACAAACTTGATAGTCCTTCCTCCCAGCATGCTAGTGGCCAAATATCATCACCCTGGTCATTTTGGTAATTCAGAAGAAGTTGTTTAAAGGATGTACAAGACAATTGACCCCTGTGACCTTGAATATGGGTGAAGGTCATTTATTTGAACAAACCTGGTAGCACTTAATGTCTGCATGCTTCTGGCCAAATATCATCACCCTGAAACTTTTGGTTATTCAGCAGAAGTTGTTTTAAGGTTTTATAAGACAAGAGGCCCGATGGGCCGTATCACTCACCTGGTATTAATCTCACACTTGTAATCTTAAAAGTGGACTAAAATACAGCTACAGGCAAAATACCAGTGTTTAATTCAAAGATTTAAATACATGATCCATGATGTGACCTTGAATGTCGATCAAGGACATAAAGTTGAACAGACTCTATAGCCTTTCATCCCAGCATGCTTCTGGCCAAATATCATTACCCTTGACCGTTAAGTTATTCAAAAAAAGTTATTTGAATATAGCCTAAGGTCCTTCATTTGAACAAACATGGAAACCCTTCATCCCAGCAAGCTACTGGCCAAATATCATCACTCTGTTCCTTTTTGTTATAAAGAAATTGTTGAATGATTGTAATTTATTCGACCCCTGTGACCTTGAAAATAGGTGAAGGTCATTCATTTGTACAAGCTTTAATTGGGAGTCTTTCATCACAGCATCGTACTGGCCAAATATCAACACCCTAGGCCTCTTGTTTATTCAGAAAAAGTCATTTAAAGGTTTTAAACATATTTGACCCCTGTGACCTTGAATACAAGTCGAGGTCATTAATTTGAACAAGCTTCGTAGCCCTTCATCACAGCATGGTACTGGCCAAATATTAACACCCTATGCCTCTTGTTTATTCGGAAAAAAAATAATTTAAAGGTTTTAAACATATTTGACCCCTGTGACCTTGAATATAAGTCAAAGTCATTCATTTGAACAACTGGCCAAATATTATCACCCTAGGCTACTTGGTTATTCTCATTAAAAGTTTTTAGCATATTTGACCCCTGTTACCTTGAAAATGGGCAAAAGTCATTCATATGAACCGATTTGGTAGTTCTTCATACCAGCATGCTACTGGCCAAATATCATCATCCTAGGCCTTTGGTTACTGAGAAGAAGTTGTTTTAAGTAAAAAAGTTTGACGCCGGACATATGCCACTCGCTGCACCATGGCTTACGCTCACTTGCTCTTTGGTCAACAGACAACAGTGTATGGAGTGCGATGATCCAACACTGTCTGGAAAAAACTTTTACCTTCTCTATCGTCTCTCGAGGCTTGGCCCTGAGGAGGATCAGCCAACAAGCACCTGACTTTTTCTGTCTCAAGAAAGGAGGAACTGTCAATCCCATCAAGGATACCCTTTATCCTCAGTCTTATGTCTGCAACATACAAAGTATACAATTCACAGAATCTGAGACAAAGTCAGTCATTAGGAAAGAATAATCAATGTCTTGAACCTGCTTTTTCTGCAAACTTTGCCACAACCCTTGCCCTATGGAATATTTTCTATAGTCAATATACAGAACTACGACTACACTATGACTACACTAAATACTTCTCTCTTACCTTCTATAGTTGTTCTTCACTAAGCCATTAAGTAAACATGCAAAGTGTTTATTAAATACATCATGATGTCAACATACAACTTAGGAACATTTGTATTGGTTAATGTAAAAGTCATGACCTTAGTACAACTACTTAAGATGTCGAAATTCTCTTTGATTTCACAAGCTGTAAATAGTTTTTCTGACAAAATATGAACATTATGATAGAAAGGTCCCATTACTTATTTTGAGCTTACATGGTTATCTTACTCCTGTTAATGATAGTAAAATCTCTATTAAGAGACCATCCTTAGAGAATCTAAAAACTGGTCTCTTAATGGAGGTGGTCTCTAAAATAAGTTTAAACCACAAAAACATCACTACAAAAGACAACATTAAAAGCAATTTCTTAACACAGGAAATCTTTTAATTCGCTTGGTCTTAACTTAATATAGGTTAAACTCAAATCAAAATAAAATCACAACAAAATCTTTTCAACAGATGTATTAGGCACTTAAATCATGTATCGAAAGAGTTCCAAAATACTACAAATGTTCTCCGTGTGATCATGTGTGATATCCCACCACACAATACCATATCTAACCTTTACAAAACTTAATATAGGTTAAACTCAAATCAAAATAAAATCACAACAAAATCTTTTCAACAGGTGTATTAGGCACTTAAATCATGTATCGAAAGAGTTCCAAAATACTACAAATGTTCTCCGTGTGATCATGTGTGATATCCCACCACACAATACCATATCTAACCTTTACAAAACTTAATATAGGTTAAACTCAAATCAAAATAAAATCACAACAAAATCTTTTCAACAGGCAACATTAAAACTGGTCTTTTAACACAGGAAATCTTTTAATTTGCTTGGTCTATTTAAAGAGGTTTAATTTGAAATAAAATCAAATCAAAACAACAACTTTTCACCAGGCAACATTAAAACTGGTCTCTTAACACAGGAAATCTTTTAATTTACTTGGTCTCTTAAAAGAGGTTTAATTCGAAATAAAAACAAATCAAAACAAAAACTTTTCACCAGGCAACATTAAAACTGGTCTCTTACCACAGGTTGTCTGTAAACAGAAGTGGGTGCATGACTGTATTCGATTACTTTAAAAAGAAACAGGTTGAACCTCATGTCTTAAAATTTTTCAAATACAAACTCTAAGATAACTAATAACCATATTCACTAGAAAACCTCTTACAAATGTATTAGGCACTTAAATCATGTATCGAAAGAGTTCCAAAATACTACAAATGTTCTCCGTGTGATCATGTGTGATATCCCACCACACAATACCATATCTAACCTTTACAAAACTTACCACTGGTAACCTCGGTTTCTCGGTGATGCCCAGTAGGTTCTGCAAACCGCTTTATCTATAACATGAATGGTAAATTACACATGTATTCCTTTTTTCACATTGTAAAGCCGCAGAAACCATTTTTTTGCAAAGCATGTCAAAGATTTTAATGAAGTTAAATTGATCAGAAACAAGAAAGAATTGACTTAGGTTTGTGTTACCATATCTCAAAAGAATTTCTTCAAATTTTGTAGTTTTATTGCTTTGAAGTAAAGAAAATTTTCTACCACAAAAACGATATAAGCTGTCAGAATTTTAAGGATTTTAAATGGAAATTTATGTAAAAAGGAGTGAATTTTGAAAAAAAAGGAAAAGACATAATTTTTTACAAAATGATGTCAAAAAAAAATTATACTGCCATAGATTAGTATTGCATTAATGTATATCAATTTAATAAATGCTGAAATTGTGTAATATAAATTATCTATAAATGATTAAAAATTGACATTTTATGATAAAACCATATACACATAGTAATTGCATGTAAGAGTTATCTTTCTTGAAAAACTTCACATTAGTGAAATAGGTAGCCGGTTTCCTGAAGTACAGAAAAATGGACATATGTGACTCATTGATAAAAAAACAACTGACTTAATGCCTGGATTGCTTTGAAAAACTTTAATATTGAGAGATAACACTGTTCTGTCAATAATAAAGTTAACATACAATATTCATAGCAACCAGAAGGGATTTGTAAAGGGAAGAAACATAGAAGACAGTATTCGTTTAATCCAAGATATTATCGAGTACTCCAATGAAGAAAATATAAGTGGAAGTACTACTTTCTTAGATCAACAAAAGGCATTTGATCGGGTGGAATGGGAATGGGTAGAAATGTGTCTTAAAAAAATTGGATTTGGGAAAGTAATTATAGAATGGATACATATGACATATAAGCAATCATCTAGTCACATCCTTACAAATGGTTTTATTTCAAAGCCATTTAAGTTATCACGTTCCGTAAAACAAGGGTGCCCGATAGCACCGTTGATTTATATCCTGCAAGCTGAACCCATGGCATGTTCTATCAGGAAAAATATAACAATAAAGGAATTGATATTCCGTATAGTAAAGGGGTCAAGGTCAATTAATATGTTTGCCGACGACACACATTTATTTGCTGGTAGGTAATTATAATGAGAAATCTATTCCACTAATCTTTTAAGTTTTAAACCAATACGAAAAGGCATCTGGTGCCAAAATAAATAAGAAAGAAGATGCCAATGGGCCTGCATCGCTCACCTGGTATTAATCTCACACTTGTAATCTTAAAAGTGGACAAAAATACAGCTACAGGCAGAATATCCATGTTTGATTCACAAGAACCTATTAAATGATTTAAACATAAAGCCTGTGTCCTTGAATGTCGAACAAGGACATTAGGTTGAAAGTGGGTCAAGGTCATTCATTTGAACAAACTTGGTAGCCCTTCATCCCAGCATGCAAAAGGCCCAATATCAGTACCCTTGGCTTTTTGGTTATTGAGAAGAAGTCGATTGAAGATTTTAAGACATCTGACCTCAGTGACCTTGATAGTGGGTCAAGGTCATTCATTTGAACAAACTTTGTAGCCCTTTATCCCAGCATGCTACAGGCCCAATATCAGTACCCTGGGACTTTTGGTAATTAAGAGGAAGTTGTTCGAAGACATTTGACCCCTGGGACCTTGAAAGTGGGTCAAGGTCATTCATTTTAACAAATTTGGTAGCCCTTCATCCCAGCAAATTACTGACCAAATATTATTATCCTAGGCTGCTTGGTTATTCAGAAGAAGTTGTTAAAATGTTTTTAACATATTTGACCCCCATGACCTTGAATATAAGTCAAGGTAATTCATTTGAACAAACTTGGTAGTCCTCTATTACAGCATGCTACTGGTCAAAAAGCATCATCCTAGGCCTCTTGGTTATTGAGAAGAAGTTGTTCAAAGGTTTTAAACATATTTCACCCCGGTGACCTTGAATATAGGTAAAGGTCATTCATTTTAACAAAACTTAGTAGCCCTTTATCCTAGCATGTTACTGGCCAAATATCATCACCCTGGACATTTTGATTATTCAGAAGAAGTTGTTTAAAGTTTTTAACATATTTGACCCCTGTGACCTTGAAAATAGGTGAAGGTCATTTATTTGAACAAAATTGTTAGCCCTTCATCCCAGTTTGCTTCTGGCCAAATATCATCACCATAAGCCTTTCAGTTATTAAGAAGAATTCGTTTAAAATAAAATATTGACGCCGTCCGGACGAGGGACGCCGCACCACGGCATAAGCTCACTTGGCCCTTCAGGCCAAGTGAGCTAATAAAAACGATGAAGTAATAGATTAAAGAATAAAATATTGAAAGAACTAATTTTGAATAAGAAATACTATCCCAAATTACAAAATAGCTGGGATGCTGTTTATCAAAATGATGACATAGATTGGGTTAAAATTTGGGATTCTTTAAAATCATCTATAGCCAACAGGAAATGTAACGACTTCCAATGGAAATGCTTACATAATATTATTTCTACGGAGGCAAAATTATTTAAAATGAGACTGTCAAACGGTTTATGTACACTTTGTCATTTAGTTCAGGAAAATCAAATTTATTTATTCTTCAGATGTAATAAAATAACAGAAATTTGGAAGACAGTTGACTCATTGATAAACAAAGCCTTACAGGAAATATCAAATTCAAATCAAATATACCAAATAACTGAGAAAGTTGTAAGGTTAGGAAGCTGTAATTTAAACCAAGAATATAATGCAGTAATCAATTTGTTTGTCTTTACTACAAAGTGGCACATTAGGAAAGAAAAAAAATAAGATAAAATTTGATGATGAATATGAAGTTGCTGACTTCACACAGCATATTTTGAAGTGTGTAAAACAAGAACTAAGGTTTACAATCAATGCAATTGAAAGCGTTAAAAGATATCAACAATTGGGGAATAAGTTACAAGCAATTTTTGCAAATTGAAATTGAAATCAATATAAGAGAAATTGAGTAGAAACAAAGAAAATGAATAAGAGAAAAAATAGACAGGGTGAGGAAGATGAGCGTACAAAATAGAGAGAGTCAGAAAATGAATAGGCTACATGTACTATGTACAGGGATTAGGCCAGGCCCCATCCTGGTATTCCCTATTGTATTCGGGATAATAAACCATAAAATAGAAAAAAAGTTAACATACAATATTCATCACAACTCTATAGACTCATTAGAATATGTGGAAATTGTGATACTGTCTCCCTACATTAGATTTTCAACTAGGGATGTACTTCCTATTTCCGTTTATCAATACACTCATTCGACCTTAAAGGAACATATTATCGCGACCTCATTATTCTGTCTAACTTGGAAGTTTTTGGGAAGCAAGCTGAACATTAATTCCCAAAAGATGCTGAGTAGATTTGCTGGGTATACATCATACATACATATACGAATGACTGTACGTATGTAATATAAACAATATCACAATCCCTTATATGACATTGTAGGTACTATCACTCATCTATTGTAGGGAACACGCCATGATATTGTCACTTGTGCATGGATCCACATGATAAACCTGCCCATGACATCAGACAAAGTACATTTTAATGCATGGCTGTGAACTTAGCTTAGATATAACAAGAGGCCCATGGGCCTTAACGGTCACCTGAGTCCTACAGTATTTATTTTTGTTGTTGAAATATGTACCAATTTGAGTAAAAAATAGTTAAGTATAATGTTAACTTAACTTTGTCAGGACCATGAGCTGATCATTCCTAGACCGATTTTAAATAAGATCGGCCTATTAGAAATTGTTTTTAAGTTTAGAATAGGTATTTACAAAATAGCGGCTGTGGTGGCCATATTGGATTTCTGATTGACCTGAAAAATAACAACACTTTGTCAGGACCATGAGTCGATCATTCCTACCAACTTTCAGTTCAATCGGTCCAGCAGAACTTGACTTTAAGTTTGAAATAGGTTTTCAAAATGGCGGCCGTGGCGGCCATATTGGATTTCTGATCGACCCGAAAAATAACAACACTTTGTCAGGACCATGAGGCGATCATTCCTACCAACTTTCAGTTCAATCGGTCCAGCAGAACTTGACTTTAAGTTTGAAATAGGTTTTCAAAATGGCGGCCGTGGCGGCCATATTGGATTTCTGATCGACCCGAAAAATAACAACACTTTGTCAGGACCATGAGGCGATCATTCCTACCAACTTTCAGTTCAATCGGTCCAGCAGAACTTGACTTTAAGTTTGAAATAGGTTTTCAAAATGGCGGCCGTGGCGGCCATATTGGATTTCTGATCGACCCGAAAAATAACAACACTTTGTCAGGACCATGAGGCGATCATTCCTACCAACTTTCAGTTCAATCGGTCCAGCAGAACTTGACTTTAAGTTTGAAATAGGTTTTCAAAATGGCGGCCGTGGCGGCCATATTGGATTTCTGATCGACCCGAAAAATAACAACACTTTGTCAGGACCATGAGGCGATCATTCCTACCAACTTTCAGTTCAATCGGTCCAGCAGAACTTGACTTTAAGTTTGAAATAGGTTTTCAAAATGGCGGCCGTGGCGGCCATATTGGATTTCTGATCGACCCGAAAAATAACAACACTTTGTCAGGACCATGAGGCGATCATTCCTACCAACTTTCAGTTCAATCGGTCCAGCAGAACTTGACTTTAAGTTTGAAATAGGTTTTCAAAATGGCGGCCGTGGCGGCCATATTGGATTTCTGATCGACCCGAAAAATAACAACACTTTGTCAGGACCATGAGGCGATCATTCCTACCAACTTTCAGTTCAATCGGTCCAGCAGAACTTGACTTTAAGTTTGAAATAGGTTTTCAAAATGGCGGCCGTGGCGGCCATATTGGATTTCTGATCGACCCGAAAAATAACAACACTTTGTCAGGACCATGAGGCGATCATTCCTACCAACTTTCAGTTCAATCGGTCCAGCAGAACTTGACTTTAAGTTTGAAATAGGTTTTCAAAATGGCGGCCGTGGCGGCCATATTGGATTTCTGATCGACCCGAAAAATAACAACACTTTGTCAGGACCATGAGGCGATCATTCCTACCAACTTTCAGTTCAATCGGTCCAGCAGAACTTGACTTTAAGTTTGAAATAGGTTTTCAAAATGGCGGCCGTGGCGGCCATATTGGATTTCTGATCGACCCGAAAAATAACAACACTTTGTCAGGACCATGAGGCGATCATTCCTACCAACTTTCAGTTCAATCGGCCCAGCAGAACTTGACTTTAAGTTTGAAATGTAAAATGTTAACGGACGACGGACGACGACGGACGAAAACGGATAGCAATAGGTCACTTGAGCTAAAGCTCAGGTGACCTAAAAAGGAGATAAAATTTCTAGGATCAGCAGGCAAATCAAGGGTAGATCTGGATACCTGAAACACACACATACACTAATTTTGGCCTTAATTTATCATGACCAATGCCCATGAAGAAAGGGTCACTTTGCTGTAACTTTGAATTGGAAATCTTTGGCAACAGTGTTAATAAAATAATTCTAAAAAATAAACCTTAAATTGTGAAACTTAAATGGAAAGAAATAAAGACAAAAAAAAACAATATCAACAACAGTGTCATAAGTGTAAAATGTGACAGGACCAGATTGGACCTCCCCGCACCATTTGGAATAAAAGTGAAGGGAGGTTATTGAATGCATGAGAAACTAAAAATTAATTATATAAGTGTTTTGCTTGCAGTGGTACAGGGATCCTTAATGGCTCACCTGCTCTCTTGTCAGCGGCCGACATCGGGCCCTAATACGAAAATACTCTGGCTTGCTTTCCAACAAGAAGGGGCAATTTGGCTGGTAACTGAAATGCACTGCCCAGGGGTCATCATTTTCTCTGATATTGACCAGTTTGATTCCACAGCAGAAACAAACAGCTTTCTCATAGCAGTGTCCATCTGAAACAATATCACCAACAATATTTTTAGCGGGCCTGTATCACTCACCTGTATGATTAAGCAACCATGGAAAAATGTTCTAATCAACCATTATACTGCAACTTTTTCCAAATATTGGCTCCATCTCTCAACAACAGCAGTCCCTCATTGAGTCCCTTGTGTCTGCACCCATATAGTGGGGTTGAACGTCAATTTCCCCTATTAAGCCCTGTCACGCTACCCAACCAAGGAGGGGGCACAACCTCTGTTTGTTAAAATGTTGAGTCCCCTTGCTCTATACAAAGTTTTACCAAAGGAGAAGGATTTTAAATTCTTTCCAAAATTTTCCCTAATGAACATCCTCCGTTAATACAAAATTGTGTCCCATTTGCCAAATGATACTCTGGCCCAAATAAGTTTGAAATCCCTCAAATTAAACCGAAGGAGAAGGATTTTTAACATTTATTTCTATAATCCCCTTATTGGGCTCTGCCCTGCTGTTCCCCTTTGCCCATGGATGCTCCAGGCTGAATATACTCAAAATCCACTGACCCATTAAATCCTTCAAATTAAACAAACGGAGAAGGAATTTAAAGATTCACCTTAAGTTCTCTTATTGGGCCCCGTCCCTCTGCCCCCAGGGGTGCCACAACCTTCATTTATACAAAAACTAGCCCCCTTTGCCCAAGGATGCTCCAGGCCAAATTTATTCTGACGGACAACAGACACTGCGCCACTGTTAAGGTCACCAGTCCTTATTCACCCTTTCACCCCTAGGCAACTTTAGTAGACTATACCATGCATTGATCCGGATGAGTCCATTATTGTCTACAGTGTTGAAAGGGTTAAGAAAATTTGTTGGAGAGCCTTAATGAACTGAAGATTTCCTAAATAAAATTTCACTGATAATTTCCCATGGAAAATCTTATATTAAGGAGCTTCTCTTATAAGTTCATAATGAGGAGAATGACTAGAACAATAAGGAACACATGTTTAAGAACAGTATGCCCCTCCCATCCCAACTTTATTTGTGCAACAAATTAAACCAATGTCAATGTAGAAAAATATATTACTTTCTATGAAAAATCCACCATCAGACCATTTCCTCCCCACATTGAAAGAACACAGTGAGCTGGTTGTCCAGGTTTGTTCCCTCCCACTCTTGTGACGAAAGTCATAGTGCTGAACAAAGTGCTGTCCAATGTAGCCAGGGAGAGTCATACCAGCCTGTAATACATGTACAACCATACTTTTATACTTCAGTAAGGTCAGTCCCCTTCATACAGAATCCTGAGTTCCCTGAATTATATGTAAATGCCTCCCCCCCCCCCACCCCCAAAAAAAAAACCTTAAAGAAGAGTTTCAGTCTACTGAAGAACTGAAAGATTTTTGAAACAAGTCTAGATAAGATTGCATTATCACTTTATTTACACATATCTTGATACGTGGTAAGCAACGTAACATGGCACGCATAAGATATTATGGTATGTATCGATGGAAAGTGTATCATCACCCTGTGATTGAAGAAGTTGTAGCCCTTCATCATGAAACCAAGGGGTATTTGGGGGTGAATAAACAACCAAAGCTCGACGTTTTGATACCGAACCGGTGATTTATTGCAGGTAAATCTTACCCTCTGTGTGGCAGAATGCTTTACAATATGTCCAGCTCATGTATTAGTCTGAACACATATTCAAGTCTCACATATGTTCTTGTCAGTCGTTGTTGTCGTCGCTCTCTCGTTTATCTAGTCATACAAAGGTATCGCGCGCCAACCACAATAGCCAGTCAGATAATAGATATATACTGACGTCACACTACTGACCTCTATACCGGACATATTATTATACAACAATTATTATACAACATTACACATAAATTTGATAAAATTCAATCCTGCTATAATCACAGCATGCCACTGGCCAAATATCATCACCCTGGTCATTTAGATTATTGAGAGGTTATTTCAATATTTTAACACATTAGACCCCTGTTACCTTGGAAGCAGTAAAGGATTTTTATTTGAGGAAACTTGGTCCCTTTAAATAATTTGTCCTCTGTGACATTTGAAGTGTATCAAGGTCATTCATTTGAACAACTTGACAGCCTTTCGTGCCAGCTTGCTACTGGACAATTAACAATTACCCTTGGCTTTTTAGGTATTTCAAAGAATTCATTTAAATAGTTTTTTTAGAAGAAGTTGTTAGAATCAAAGCATTCATTCAAGAGTAATCGTACGAAATCATTTGTCATAATTAAGATGTCAATGTCAACCTATTAACGCCGAAAAGCCCTGATAACCAACACACCTGTAGGAGGCTTTCACGCAAAAGATGGAGGAACTGAGGGCCACAAGTCTTCAGAAGGTGCTGACAGTGCATGCTGACAGCTGCATGTGTGAGAATGGGGTTATGTGACCCCTGCCAGTTCCTGAGCTGGACACCACATGAAAAGCAGCGATAAGTGTCAGCAATTCCTACAAATAAATCAGTAGCAAATATCAGATAAATTACACAAAAAAGAAAGGAGTTTAATTTTTTGGTTTACTTTGGATAATGTAACATAATATATAAGTTTTATAGAAATGTTAAGAAGATCAATTCAGGAAAAATAATAATTATTCAGCCAAATGTCATATATCGTCTTATAAACGTCCAACCTGTGAAGCTAGGATCAGTAATATATAATGCCTTGCTTTCAGTACATATAACCAGTAATTATGTTACAAAAACCTAGATTATACTGAAAACCCACAAGATTACAAATCAGAACAACTTGATTTCATCACAAAGGACTTTTCCAAATGAAATTGACCTTCACACAACATAAAACTACAACACAGTAAACTAGATTTGATCAAGATCAAAACAAGGGATTTCCAACAGGAAAATGATCAGAGGTATGTTCTTGGACTGACGATCGCTTCCCTTCGCTTCCCTTCACTGCCCTCCTTTGACCAACCTTATCATAGGGTCAAGTTATTTCTGAACAGTCAGCATTGATAGAAAGTTGTTTAGTGTCCCCCTCCCCTTTGTAGGGACGTTATTTACTTGAGGTACGTAGTTGTGAATGTCACCTCTGTTATTTGGACCCAGCGACACCAAACCCCAGTTTACACAGTGATAGCCCTGGGGCAATGGTGAATGACAGCTCTGTTATTTGGACACAGTACACCAAACAACAGTAAGTTTGATGATGGTTACACAGGCAATGGAGGTTGAGTTTTCTGTTAGAGTTATTGCCCTTTGTACAGTTAATATCATTTAAAGCAATCTTTTGTAGGTTTGACATGTTCATTGATATGCATCATGATGCATTGACCTTGAAACTTGATACATCTCTTTATTAGGATACATTCTTTAAAATGTGCTGTAAAAAAAAAGTTTTGAAGAATTTTGAAATTTTCATTTTTTGGATCATTTGACCGCTGTGGCCTTGAATAAAGGTCAAGGTCAACGATAACCCAGAACTTTTATGGATGTGCCAAATATCAACCTGTATGTGTCTTGATGACGGAGGAGAAGAGTTTAAAGTGCATTTGTGAAAGTTTTGAATTTTGGCGGGAAAATGAACATTTTCAGTGTCATATCCTCGTCATTTTTGATGCTATGACCTTGAAACTTTAGAAATACCTCCATTACAACGTGCCCTTTGCGATGTGATAAAAATTGAACTTATTTTGAGTTTTTCATTTTTGACCTATATTTGACCTCATAGCTAAGTTTTTAACTTGACATGTTCTCTAAAAACATGTAATGGGAAAATGTTAGCCCTGACCAAGATCTACAAGATCCACATAACGTTCATACAGAACAAGGAACGCTTATGAAGTTATGGTCGCTCTAAAATGTTTTAAAAAATCGATTTTTAAATCTGTGACCTTGACCTATGACATTACGATTATGATTTTGTTCGGGTGTCTGGAGACCGTTGTCCTCTTTTATGAACTGAAATATGAACGTAAGATCTTTGTTCGTTCTTGAGATAAATTGTACACAAGATTTCTGGAAATAAGAATAAGAATAAGAACAAGAGATCCCAGAGGGATCTTGGCGCCCACCTTTGTACCATCTTCATTAGTTCTTTGTCAGTTCTATCTTTTCTCTTCTTTCCTCTAATCTGTTTGATCGAGTCATGTTAACAGTAAATGCACCTTGAGGTAACTTTTGATCTAAACTTAATACTGATGTGTATGAAAGTCAAAATAGAAAGTGAGTTTGCAATTGTCATTTCACATATTTACTAGTACAGTACTTAATGTGAAAGAAATAGAATCGATCATTGCAATATAAGAAAGATCTGTTTAGTTCTTCTTTTAATCCATTTTGTTTTTTATGATCAGTCTCAAAGTATAACATGCACAACGAGGGGATCAAGGGGAACCTACATATCAAATGTGAGAAAGATCCCTCAAGTTATTCCTGAGAAATAGTACTAACAAACCTTTAATGTCAAAAAATCAAGAAGTTGGCTGTCGGTAGGCCTTTTTGTTTAACTGATCAGTTTCAAAAGTAAACATGAACAATAAAGGATAGTGGGGGAACCTGCATTGGCTGGCTCAAAATATTTTTTTGGGACGAGTTAAAAATTTTAAGCACTGGCCCAAATGACATATTGGTGGCCCAAATGATTTTGGGAAGAAATATTTTCACAGCATTTAGCACAATGCTTCAGCACATTTAAATAACATATAACATGATAATGTTTGAATTATGTGAACAGAATAAAACATTATATTTTTAATTCTTCAACCCTAGTTTTAAAACCTGACATGTTTCTCAAAGAAATACACAAAACTCGACCCTCAAAGAAGACACCCTGGCTGTATTTTATGTAAGAAATCTGGAAAAAAAATTCATCACATTTACTAAATCACGGACAGTTGGATTCAAGCCGAAGTAATGACAACTGAAAAAAGTACTGCCCCCCCCCCCCCTCAGTTAATGTGGAGGGAACTATAATTTCTTTTATTCATAAATTTTTCAACATTCACCCAAACTGTTTTTGTTAGGCCAGTGACTACCTCACTTTTGACAACTTTTGGTCGTCCGAGCAAGACTTTAATTGCCATTGGCGAGCGGGAGACCGTCCATTTCAGGCTCTGCTGCACAACAAGGGTACAAGGGGAACCTACATATAAAATTTGAGAAAGATCTATCCCGTACTTCCCGAGAAATAGCGATAACAAACTTTCACTATAAAAAAAAACCAAGATGGCTGCCTGTCGGTCATGATGTTTATCCGATCAGTCTCAAAAATTGCCCTGCACAGCTAAGGACCAAGGGGAACCTACATATAAAATTTGAGAAAGATCCCTTTGGTTCTTCCGGAGAAATAGCGATAACAAATTTTCACTATCAAAATCCAAGATGGCTGCCTGTCGGCCATGTTGTTTATCCGATCAGTATCAAAAGTTGCCCTGCACAGCTTAGAACCAAGGAAAACTTACATATGAAATTTGAGAAAGATCTTTCTGGTACTTCTTGAGAAATAGCGATAACAAACTTTAACTATCAAAATCCAAGATGGCTCCCTGTCGGCCATGTTGTTTATCCGATCAGTCTCAAAAGATGCCCTGCACAGCTTAGGACCAAGGGGAACATACAGATAAAACTTGAGAAAGATCCCTCCCGTACTTCCAGAGAAATAGCGGTAACAAACCAACACTATCAAAATCCAAGATGGCTGCCTATCGGCCATGTTGTTTATCTGATCAGTCTCAAAAGTTGCCCTGCACAGCTAAGGACCAAGGGGAACCTACATATAAAATTTGAGAAAGATCCCTCTAGTACTTCTTGAGAAATAGCGATAACAAACCTACACTATCAAAATCCAAGATGGCTGCCTATCGGCCATGTTATTTATCCGATCAGTCTCAAAAGTTGCCCTGCACAGCTAAGGACCAAGGGGAACCTACATATAAAATTTGAGAAAGATCCCTCTAGTACTTCTTGAGAAATAGCGATAACAAACTTTCACTATCAAAATCCAAGATGGCTGCCTGTCGGCCATGTTCTTTATCCGATCAGTCTCAAAAGTTGCCCTGCACAGCTAAGGACCAAGGGGAACCTACATATAAAATTTGAGAAAGATCTATCCTGTACTTCTTGAGAAATAGCGATAACAAACTTTCACTATCAAAATCCAAGATGGCTGCCTGTCGGCCATGTTCTTTATCCGATCAGTCTCAAAAGTTGCCCTGCACAGTTAAGGACCAAGGGGAACCTACATATAAAATTTGAGAAAGATTCCTCTGGTACTTCTTGAGAAATACAGATAACAAGAATCGGACCACGGACGCAGGGTGATTTGAATAGCCCACCATCAGATGATGGTGGGCTAATAAGAAAAAACAGAACAATAGCAATAGGGATTTCCATCCAAAATGGAAATCCCTAATAATAAGAAACAAGAGGCCCAATGGGCCTGAATCGCTCACCTGTTATTAATCTCACACTTCTAATCTTAAAAGTGGACTAATATACAGCTACAGGCATGTTAATGGCCAAATATCATCATCCAAGGCCTTTTGGTTATTGAGAAGAAGTTATGTAAAGGTTTTAAACATATTTGACCACTGTGACCTTGAAAATAGGTGAAGGTCGATTGTTTGCACAAACTTGGTAGCCCTTCATCTGAGCATGATACTGGTCAAATATCATTGTTCTAGGCCTCTTGGGTATTCACGAGAAGTTGTGTAAAGGTTTTAAACATATTTGACCCATGTGGCCTTGAAAATAGATGAAGGTCATTTGTTTGATCAAACTTGGTAGCCCTTAATCCCAGCATGTTACTGGCAAAGGCCTTTTGGTTATTGAGAAGAAGTTTTTAAAAGATGTTTAATATATTTGACCCCTGTGACCTTGAAAATAGATGAAGGTCATTTGTTTGAACAAACTTCGTAGCCCTTTATCCCAGCATATTACTGGCCAAATATCATTATCCTAGGCTTCTTGGTTATTCAGAAGAAGTTGTTTAAAGGTTTTAAACATATTTGACCCCTGTGACCTTAAATTTAAGTCAAGGTCATTCATTTGAACAAACTCTGTACCCCTCTATTACAGCATGCTACTGGTCAAATAGCATCATCCTAGGCCTCTTGGTTATTGAGAAGAAGTTTTTTAAAGGTTTTAAGCATATTTGACCCCTGTAACCTTGAATATAAGTAAAGGTCATTTGTTTGAACAAACTTGGTAGTCCTTTATCCAAGCATGTTACTGGCCAAATATCATTATCCTAGGCTTCTTGGTTATTCAGAAGATGTTGTTTAAAGGTTTAAAACATATTTGACCCCTGTGACCTTGAAAATAAGTGAAGGTCATTTATTTGAACAAACTTGGTAGCGCTTTATTACAGCATGTTACTGGTCAAATAGCATCATCCTAGGCCTCTTGGTTATTGAGAAGAAGTTGTTGAAAGGTTTTAAACATATTTGACCTCTGTGACCTTGAATATAGGTAAAAGGTCATTCATTTTACCAAACTTTAGTAGCCCTTTATCCTAGCATGTTACTGCCTAAGTTATTCAGAAGAAGTTGTTTAAAGATTTTTTAAGACAATTGACCCATGTGACCTTGAAAATGGGTGAAGGTCATTTATTTGAACAAACTTGGTAGCACTTCATCCCAGCATGCTACTGGCCAAATATCATCACCCTTGGAATTGTTTATTCAGAAGAAGTTGTTTAAAGTAAGACGGACGGATGAAGGACGGACGACTGACGCTGCACCACGGCATAAGCTCACTTGGCACTGCCTGCCAGGTGAGCTAAAAACATAACAATTTCAATCTGAAATGGAAATCTCTAATCGGATGGAAATCCCTAATTACCTGTCGGGATAAGTCCAGATTCACTGAATTGTTCCACATCAGCTGATGTGGATGGATTCAGGTATTGATCCGCTAAGCAGTTTTCCAGTTCTGGTTGTAAGTGGAGAGATGGTGGGTGGGAAAACAATCTTGACATTGACTGCAAGTATGTCTGTATGCTCTCTACATACATGGGTCCATCAAAATTTAGCACTCGCCTTAGGGAGCAGCAGACGTCTGCTTCAGAATCTTGACACAGTTCAAGAATCTTTCCACAGGACAGGCACTGTACACATTTTCTGGCAGAATTGAGGCAATGGAAGCCCTTGGTATACAGGTCTTTGGCAGTGTTACAGATGCCAGAAGGCCAGAGTAGAAAGCTAAAGATGTCCGACGCGTCCAGTCTTGACATCGTTTTTGATCTTGACCTTATTCCTACCAGTACGGGCCTCAATTTGGTAAAGTCAGTCGGGATTACAGCTTGTAGTAAAAAAAAGTCCTTTACTCTGGTCATATTCACAACCAATGCCATTTTCAGAATGGAAGAAAGTGTGCTTGCATTTACACAAGGGTGAGGAACATTTGGTTCCTGTCGAGGATGAACGGGTGTACCATTCTCCTTTTCGATAAGGTTCAAAAATAGTGTTTTCTTGATCATATCGAGGAAATGCTTATCTTTTGTTTTGAGTTCATAGTCTATTCCTTCTTTTTCTATCAAAGGTTTGCAAAAGGTCCGCAGAGCTTGTACATTCAGTACAGCTAAATATCCTTTGAATTTTCTGACAGTACCATTCATTTTAATGTGAACAGTTATCTTGAAACTTAAGAGCAACAAAAACTCAAACTGTTGAAACAATGACAGATAGGAATAGCATTTTCCTGATTGAGCATGGATGTTTTCCTGTTCAACAGTTACCACTGGTTGGTTAGTTTTATTGGAGTCTATGGTCATCGTCAATCTTAATGTAGGGGCTGTAGGTACATCAAGTAGAGGTCTGTCTTCTTGATCTTCTTCAAGAGTAACATCGACATAGGACTCTTTCAAGGTAAGACCTCTAGGTTCTCCTCCACAAGCCCCCTCCATCTCCTCCAACTCTTCCACCTCCTCCAACTCCTCCTCCTCCAACTCAGCCAGCACAGGAATTTCATCCCTACAACAGATTTTAATGTGTTATTTGCAATCTTAGAGTGGTCAGGTGGTACATTTGATGGTGCACTTGCCTTAAAACAAAATTCAATATCCTTAATGGACATGAAAATGAATGGGGTCTCCTGTCTGACCATGAAGTTTTTTTTCTTGGTTCCTGATGCTAGGTTCCTCCAGATTCCTTATTATTTGCTAAGAAATAAAGTTTAATATTTTGTAATAGGACATGCATGGGGAGGGCCCGTTCGGTTTTGGTAGATGAATGTGATTGCATAGTAATTTTTGTTTTCCCAAAAACTACCAACAAACGGACCCTCAGCAATCCCCAAGAATCTCCTACTGTGTCTGTCTACAGTATGACACAGGTCCGTCAGATTTTGAGGAGTATCCAAAACATAAACCAATCAACACATTGTTTGGAGTTTTTTAATGTTTTTTGATAACACATGGCTAAGTTTGCCCCTTGCCCAAGGATATTCTAGACAAATTTGGTTAAAATCCCTCCATTGGTACAGAAGCAGAAGAAATCTTAAGATTGACCTCAATTTCCCCTACTGGGCCCGGCCCCTCTGCCCCCGGGAGTTTATAAAAATTTGGATCCTCTTTGATTGAGGATACTGGAGGACACATTTAATTAAAGTCCACTAAGCCATTCAGTATTAGAAGCAACCATATATAGTGACCCTACAAAACCTGTAATGAACATCCATGTATAGTGGCCTTACAAAACCTGTAATGGACATCCATGTATAGTGGCCCTACAAAACATGTAATGGACATCCATGTAGAGGGGCCCTACAAAACCTGTAATTGACATACATGTATAGTGGCCCTACAGACCCTGTCATGGGCATCCATGTATAGTGGCCCTACACAACCTGTAATGGACATCCAGGTAGAGTGGCCCTACAAAACCTGAATGGACATCCATATATAGTGGCCCTACAAAACATGTAATGGACATCCATGTATAGGGGCCCTACAAAACCTGTAATGGACACCCATGTATAGTGGCCCTACAAAACCTGAATGGACATCCATATATAGTGGCCCTACAAAACATGTAATGGACATCAATGTATAGTGGCCCTACAAATCCTGTAATGGACATCCATGTATAGGGGCCCTACAAAACCTGTAATTGACATACATGTATAGTGGCCCTACACAACCTGTAATGGACATCCAAGTATAGTGGCCCTAAAAAACCTGTAATTGACATACATGTATAGTGGCCCTACAGACCCTGTCATGGGCATCCATGTATAGTGACCCTAAAAAACCTGTAATGGGCATCCGTGTATAGTGGCCCTACAAAACATGTAATGGACATCAATGTATAGTGGCCCTACAAATCCTGTAATGGACATCCATGGATAGTGGCGCTACAAAACCTGTAATGGACATCCATGTATAGTGGCCCTACAAAACCTGTAATGGACATCCATATATAGTGGCCCTACAAAACCTGCAATGGACATCCATATATAGTGGCCCTACAAAACCTGTATTCCACACCCATTCTATAGCACATGCGCAGTGAGGTTGGAACGTCCTCCAGTGACTTATCAAAATCTGGTTGTCTCAAAAGTTAACACCCATGTATTAAAACAAACTTCACTTGCAATAGCTGCTACTGGACAAGAAGCATATGCCGAATGAATAACCAACCCTACCGTACCCATTTGGTTACTTTTAGGACACACTCCCCACCCCCCACCCCTAAGATCAAAGTAATATTTTACCTATAATTTAACAAAAAATTGTCTGATAGTAGCTACCATGTCTATCACCCTGGGGTCTAACTAGAAATGTGAATCTAGCCTATATAGAAAACTTATTAAAACCTGAGCTTAAGACTTTTTGTATGGAAAAAAAAACAATTCAATTAATTATATCAACCGATTAAGTATGCTAGCAGATCTAGAGCAACCGTGATAATAACAGACAAATACTTCCATAACCAAACAAATACATTAAATCCTATTAGTTCAAGATCTATGTTATAATAATTAGATTTACAAATCAAGTAAGTTATACAATACCTACAAAGTATTCTTTTCCAAAACAAATACATACTTAACTTGGAGCAGGCAAATACTGACCTTGTATATCACTATCCATGTAGAAATATTATAAGACTCTTTCATGCCCAGGGGTGTAGGATAGGGACATTCCATCCGAGGGGTTTTCAAATTTGGCAAAACCTTCAGCTTGAAGTTTGTCCAAATTTGAAAATCCTGAGGGTGGAATTTCCCTATCCTACACCTTTGCATGGGCATGAAAGAGTATTTTTCTCTCATTCCAACTACCAGAATAAGCTCAGAAACCATGAAAATGTGTTTTGGCTGGCTATACTATTTTGAAAATATCAATTTTCCCCTGAGCTTTTTAGACGAAAACAAATCAGTCAGCCAGTTTAAGCATACCCCATATTTGCAAACAAAAGTTCGCACAGAAAAATTAATCTCAACTTTCTAATGTTTAAGGTAAATATATATCGTAAAAGGTTTTAATTTCATCACGTCGCCTTTTCGGCATTGCAGCATCAGAGTTTTCCAAATTCTTGACGTCATGTCATTGTTGAGCCATTGTGAAATGTTACCTAAAGGAATGTTAGTCTGCGCTATATAGATGTATATTCAAACAAATATTGAAGCGTAATTTAGGTCCTAATATGAAATAGGTGCTACCAAGAGGCGAACGCTTAATAAAACTAGAACACTGACAGGTCAGTAAGGGCCCCGTCTTGTGGCAATATATCCCCCATAATCATCAAGAAGCAATCTGCTAATATACATGTAGTTGAGCTTGACGTTTGACATTTGGACTTCACAAGGAAGCAAAATATACATGTTACATGTACTATGATGTGAGTCTTGTTTCCTTTCACCTCCATATTTACTAGGCTAACAGAAATGTAAATACCGGTGCAATACACATTTGTTAGCTTTGATTTGTTTTATTTCACCTTATTTACCTCCTCCACCAAGAGCCAGGGTCAAAGTCAGTGATCCACATTGTCTTTGACCTTTGGACCCAAAAGACCTTGACCATTAACCCAGTGACCCTGAACTTTGGTCAGTTGACTTATTCTTTAATTCCGACAAATTTTGCTTCTTAATATCATAACAAAATTTTCATCAGTGAAAAATACAAAAATAGACCTTGACCGTTTGGACACCGTAGCCTGGACCCAAGGTCAGTTGACTCTGTGTTAAGTTCTGAACAACATTGCTTCATAATGTCATAACATATTTTCATCAGGGAAAAAGTACAAAATTTAACCTTCACCTTTAACCCAGTGACCTTGACCTTGGTCAATTGACTCCTTGTTTAATTCTGAGCAACATTGCTTCAAAGTGTCATAGCGAAATGTTCACCAGTGAAATTATACAAAATTTAACCTTGACCTTTGAACCAATGACCTTGACCTTTGATCAATTGACTCCTTGTTTAATTCTGATCAACTTTGCTTCATCATGTCATAACAAAATGTTCATCAGTGAAAAGATGCAAAATTTGACATTGACCTTTAAATCTAATTACCTTGACCTTTGACCTCGACTTTTTACCTCAGTGTGTCTCTTTGTTTAATTACGAACAACTTTGCTTTATAATGTCATAGAGAAATGTTCACCAGTAAAAAGCTACACAATTTCACCTTGACCCCTGACCCGATGACCTTGACCTTTGTTTAGTTGACTGCTTGTTTAATTCTGATCAACTTTGCTTCATAATATCATAACAAAATGTTCATCAGTGAAAAGATGTCAAATTTGACCTTGACCTTTGTACCTTATGACCTTTACCTTTGACCTTGACTTTTTACCTCAATGTGTATTTTTGTGAACTGAACATTTTGACCAAGTTTCATGTACATCGGTCAATTAATATTAAAGTTATCAGCCAGGAACAAAATTTGTGGACAGACAGACAGACAGAGTGATTACTATAGGGCACCAGTATCTCCGATACAGGGCCCTAATTATACTGTATACATTTTAATCTATTGAATAAAATAGTGTTACCACCTGATAATAGTTTTTAGAGTAAACATTAATATTTTTGATTATATCGCATCGTACACAGAGGTTCAATTTTTGTATTGAAAGCTGCTGGTACATTATATGTATCCCTATGCAATGAAGTATGGACCATACTTTTAATTTGTATCATAACGACTATATACCGGTATATTACAGTATATAATGTTAAAGAGGACGTTGGCCGATTTTAATTATGTATACCAATGTAACAGATTAGGAAAAATGCACGGCCAGACCGGGGTTTGAACCCTGGACCCACCGAACTCTAAACGGACACTCTATCAATTGAGCTATCTGGTCGCTGACGATCGACCCAGTCCAGTCCCGCTACATTCCTCCCTCCTTTTTCGAAGTCTTGCATTAGAGTTTTTTTATTAGTACAGTGTATATACGATATAGATCAATTTGGCTTTTCATGATAATCTTGGGATTGAGTTTGCAGACTCTACCAAAATGGAAAAAAATACAACCTTCAACCCTATTCCTGACATATATATGTATCTTGCGTTATGTTGCTCTTTTACATGGACCCAAGACTGGACCTCTTACACACAAACAATATGATACTTTTCTATGATAATGGTGTTGTTATTTTTACAACCTGATCACATACTGAATTTGACTGAAAACTTAATGGTTTTGAATTTTCCTATTTGACTGTGTAAAAGAAACTACATGTATTTCATATGTAACAATGCACATAATGTAGCCTACAGCAGAATCACAAAACAAAGATGCCTGACATATATTCTTAATAACATGTACCGTCTTACTTAACCACACCGCTTATCATCAGTATAAAATACATACGCGGGAAATATCGATTATGACATCATAATGACTGATGACGTTGTAAGCAGGTTTTATCTGTGTGTGCTTGGTTTGGTCTCGATATTTAGAAATTGGCCAGGAAATCGACGTTATGTCATAGAAATCGTTTAAATTGAAAAAAGAAAAGAAATGCTATCCGAGACCGTATGTTTCTGTATTGAAATAGATTAAATTCATTGGAAAATATTCTACATCCGGTGGATCCAAAATGGCGGCTTCCATAAATGTAATTTGTGCACGTGCGATTTCCCAAATTATGCAAGTGAATGGACTTGCTAGGTCTATGGGATTTCATGGTAGATTTTGACTGGGGTTTCTAATCTATGAAGCTCACTTCATGGTAGATTTTGACTGGGGTTTCTAACCTATGAAGCTCACTTCATGGTAGATTTTGACTGGGGTTTCTAACCTATGAAGCTCACACAAGAGCGCTCGCTATAAGTGAAATGACCTTATATTATTTTAGCAATCAATCCTAAAATAAGATACATTGACCATATATTTGTGTGGATTAATGTAATGATGACTTTGATTTGGTTGTACAGCCATTGAATATATTAATCAATGTAGACATTTAGAGTGATTGCATCAGTTATGTAATATTACTTTAGATGGTTTAACAATCTGTAAGAACATGCACAGCTGTTTCATCAATAATGGTGATGGTGAACCCATTTGACCTCTTAAAAAGCTTTGGCATGGATGGCAACTGTTTTTTCTGTTGTATGTCATACATTATTACTGGAAGCGACCAAGACTGGTTCAGCACATTGCTTACACTCCAGATGAATACCTCAACCTTATAATAGACAATGGCCTATTGATGGTGGTGATCCAACAGTGAGCAAAATAACTTGCCCAAAACCTTTAACCTAAAGCTTGCCCAAAAACTTCAACCAAGTCCAATTAAGCTGTTATATTTTTTTATTGGCCCCTAAAATATAAAAATATTGTTAAGCACATTGCTTACACTCGATATAAATGCCTCAACCATATAATAGACAACAGTGTATTGAGTGTGACACTGTCTGGAAACAAGAGGCCCATGGGCCTTAACCGTCACCTGATATATTTATACAGAGAGTTGATTTTTGTTTTTAACATGAACAGAAATATTATTCAAAGTGACAAAAAACAATAAAACCACCTTATTCAATTTCTAGCATACAGATTTAAGACTGAAAATTATTTGAAACTAGCACCTCTGATTCTAAACAAGGAAAATGAAGAAATTTTATTTTAGCACAGGGACTCCATTGGGCCCCACCCTACAGCCCTTGGGGGTAGGGACGGCTCAAAATTTACAAAGTATCAAACTGTCAACTTAGGGTTATAATTCCGATCAAGTTATCAACATGTAATATTCAAAGCATCATTTGCCATTATAAACCATAACAAATTTTGCACCCACCCCTCCTTCCCCAGGGGGAAACACGAGACCCCAGGGTCATGAAATTCACAATTTTGGTAAAGCACCTTAAGACCCTTCCATCTATGAAGAGTATTTGATTCTACCATATCTCGGTCTTGAGAAGAAGATTTTTGAAATTTCAGTCAATTCGACCCTTTTTGGCCCCACCCATCAGCCCCGAGGGGTCAGTCAGGGCTGATATGTGCATACCATCAAACTGCTATCCAATACTGATAATGCTAACCCAAATTGAATAACTTCCAATGGCAATTAAACAAATGTTAGTCCAAAATGTGATTTAAAATTCCCTATGTAAACTATAGTAAAGTTTACCCCCTCCCCAAGGGGAAACGTAAGACCCCAGGGCCAAGAAATTCACAATTTTAGTAAAGCACTTTAAGACCCTTCTATCTATGAAGAGTATTTGATTCTACCATATCTGGATCTTGAGAAGAAGATTTTTGAAATTTTAGTCAATTTTATCCTTTTTGGCCCCAACCATCAGCCCCAGGGGGTCAGTCAGGGCTGATATGTGCATACTATCAACCTGCTACCCAATACTGACAATGCTAACCTAAATTGAATTATTTCCAATGGCAATTAAACAAATGTTGGTCAAAAATGTGATTTCCCTATATAAACTATAGTAAAGTTTACCCCCTCCCCAGGGGGAAACGTGAGACCCCAGGGTCAAGAAATTCACAATTTTAGTAACCTTAAGACCCTTCTATCTATGAAGAGTATTTGATTCTACCATATCTGGATCTTGAGAAGAAGATTTTTGAAATTTTAGTCAATTTTACACTTTTTGGCCCCGTCCCTCAGGCCCCTGGGGCTGGGGACCATATAATTCACAATTTTAGTTGACCTTTGAGCATGGAAGGTTTCTGCAAAATTTCATTGAAATTGGTTCAGGGGTTTTGGAGAAGAAGTCGAAAATGTAAATTGTTTACGGACACACGACGGATGACGCCGGACAAAAGGCGATCGCAATAGGTCACTTGAGACTTTGTCTCAGGTGACCTTAAAACTTTAACCTAAGGTGGTACGTCGACGCCAGAATAGGCGAGCTAATGATGATTGGGAGTGAACTTCAGACAGGGCATTTTCCTAATTCATTATATTTAAAATTGATTTGATATAATGAGAAATTTTAATTTTTGCCTTCAAAAAAATTATTGTTAGCTAACATACTTGCCAGTGTCCTACTTTCAAACAGAAATCTTTGCAACAGTTGATTTTTTTTTTTGTTATTTGCCTTTTGTAATGCAAATAAACTAATACAAAATCAAGTATCTACTTTTGAGACATAATTTATTTAACATGACATTTCCAATCACATAGACTGTCAATGTCTGAAACCTCCAATGAAGGAGAGAGTGCGTGAAATGTGACTATAAATGCTTGCTCAATTTCTCTTTCCTTTTTTGTGTATCAAAATTACTCCAAAAAGCATTCACTTGATTCAGACACACCTGTTATGATCATAACACGCACCCTGCAGTATCTAGGAGATCAATTGACCACAGGATGTAGACTTTGTGTTTGGATTTAACGAGGGAGTTTCGAGGGAGATTGGTAAATTTTGGTCTAATTGAAGGAGTCTCCCTCCCTCCTAGTGAGGGAGGTTTGATAGCAAATTATGCAATCATGACAATGTAAATGACAAAATCAAAACTTGGGGGGGGTTTGGAATTCACTGGTAAAGGGCATTGTTTTCAATGAGTGAAAGCTTCCTGATATATAGTATTTAAGCCATTATTAATCAACAGAATTCAGTGTGCATTAAGATGTACTTACATTGTAACTCTGTTTGTATTGTCTTACAGTTCTTGACGTCACAGCTCTCAATCTGAAAGGAAAACAGCTCAGATACAACATCAGGTTATCCAACATGGCTCACTCACTCCTGCATCATACCAGGTATTTGTTTTTTCTGTTAAGGGTCTAAATACACAACTAAGGATCATGGGGAAAATACCTCTGTTCTTTTCAATTAGCTATCCAACTCAGTATTAGATACAAAAAGTAAAGAAAAGCCCTACATTTCAGTGACATGTTGTCGTACCTGAAGGTGTCTGCATGGGATCATGCGCACGCCTACATAATATGCAATCACTTCCGGAACAAAAGGCCCTTCTATGTTTGTATAGAATCCTAGTATATATATAATTTTTTCAAGCGCTTATTTGACAGCAACCTACAGTACACTATAACTGACAAAATTGAGAATGGAATCAGAAATGACAGAATTGAACCATAATTTGTCAAAATAGTTCAGAAGTATGGATTGAATGTTAATTTGTTTGTAAAAATGTCTTTCTAAATTTCACACATTATTTTCAATGGAAGGAGACCTCACACAATGGAAATCACTAAAGCTGACAAAACTGGCATGCATATTGCATGGACATTAAACGTTTGAGTGAGTGACTGTGTGTACCAACCCATTCATTTGTTCTATTATTTATGGGTATTATTACTGTGGTTAAACAAAGCTAAAGAACACATGCACAATGAACATGTGACCTCTATATATCCTACCTGTGCATCGGGTATGGTACGGTACATTTTAAAAGTCCCAACAAGAGGCCCAATGTGCCTGTATTGCTCACTTATTTTTTATCTCATATCTGTGACTTCAAAGAGCTTCACGGTCATATTAATTTAAATATCACTACACTACTCTCAGTGTACCAAAAACAGGACTGTGAAGAAATGTAACTGCATGTACCCAGAAAGGGACATTTTGGTATTTTGGCCAATATTGGTGGATAAACAATCAATAAAAGAAGAAAATTATAGTTCATATATTTTAGAGCCAGAGGTTCTGATTGAATTTCTTCTCCAAACTAGCATTTAACTTTTGAACAAGAGGCCCAAGAGGGCCTGTATCGCTGACCTGAATATTTAAGCAGTCATAGC